TAACAGTAAACACACAGATCAATGGAACAGAATAGAGAACCTATAAACAAAACAATATACATACAACAAATAATCTTTCAACAAACTAGACAAAAACCTACATTGGGGAAAGGAAGCCCTATTCAGTAAATGGTGCTGGAAAAACTGGATAGCCACACACAGAATAATGAAACTGGATCCCTATCTTTCACCATACAACCAAAAATTAACTCAAGATGGATTAAAGACTTAAATGTAAGACTTGAAACCATAAAAATTTTAAAAGGAAACAGGAAAATTTCTTCTGGACATTGGCCTAGGCAAAGAATTTATGACTAAGACCCCAAATGCAAACACAACAAAAACACAAATAAATAAATGGGACTTAATTAAACTAAAAAGTTTCTGTACAGCACAAGAAATACTCAACAGAGTAAATAGACAATCTACAGAATGGGAGAAAATATTTTCAAATTATGAATCTGACAAAGCACTAATATCCAGGGTCTACTAGGAACTCAAACAAAAAAACACTAAAAAGCAGGCAAAAGACATAAACAGACATTTTTCAAAAGAAGATACATAAATGGCCCACAAACATGAAAAAATGCTCAATATCATTAATCATTAGAACAATGCAAATTAAAACCACAATGAGATACCACCTTACCCCTGTCAGAATGGCCATTACTAAAAAGCTGAAAAACAATAGATGTCGGCATGGGTTTGGTGAAAAGGGAACACTTATACACTGTTGGAGCAAATGTAAATTCATACAGCCTCTGTGGAAAACAGCGTGAAGAATTCTCAAAGAACTGAAATTAGACCGACCATTCAATCCAGCAATCCCACTACTGGGTGGGATTTTTCCCACTACCCAAAGGAAAAGAAGTCATTATATCAAAAAGACACCTGCACTCATATGTTTTCCAGCACAATTCACAATTGCGAAGATATGGAATCAACCTAAGTGCCCCTCAACTGATGAGACGATAAAGAAAATGTAGTGTGTGTGTGTGTGTGTGTGTGTGTGTGTGTGTGTGTGTGTGTAGTATTCCATGGAATACTACTCAGCCACAAAAAAGAATGAAATAATGTCTTTTTCAGTAACTTGGATGGAACTTGGAAGCCATTATCCTAAGTGAGGTATCTCAGGAACAGAAAAACAAATACTGCATGTGCTTCCTTATAAGTAAGAACTAAACAATGGGTATACATCGTCATACAGCGAGTGGTATAATGGACTTTGGAGACTCAGAAATGGGGGGGGGGTCAAGGATGAAAAGTTACCTTTCAGGTATGATGTACGCTATTGGGGTGATGAGTACACTAAAAGGCCCAACTTCACCACTAGACAATTTATCCATGCAACAAAAAAAAACCACTTGTACTCCCTAAATCTATTCAAATTTTAAAAAATACAAATGAATTGTAGAAAAAATTTTTAAAAATATTTAAAGAAAAAGAAGAAATTTACCATCAGAGCCAGTAATACTTGCCCTCATGGAGCTCACAGTCTACTGGATCTAAACAATGAGATATTTTCATCTACACTGTGTGCAAGTCACCTTGCTATCTTTAAGAACTACAGGAGTTTTAACTGCAAATCCCCATCAATTCTGATCGCCTTTCACAATCACCACCGGTTTCCCCTTCTCCCTCATGTCTTCTCTTACCCCCGCACTGGTGCAATCCCCTTACTATCAGCTCTGCCCCCCTTAGCCACCCCACCCCAGCCTCTCTAGGCAGTTGTGCCCAGGAATCCAGTGAGGAAGGCACCTGTGAGGCTGAGATTTGTCGCTCTCTGGTAGTCGTAGCCAGCAACTGCCTAAAAACATAGTATCCTGGAAGCCCTGCAGCCTTCCTGCCTCATTCCATAAACCATTCAGGACCCACTACTGCCATGAAAGAAGACTGGAAGGGAATGCGATCAACTTTGCAGACAGACCAAGAATGCTCTTCACAGTTCTGCATCCTTTACCCATTTCCTTTCCTACGTATTTTCCTCCCTCTTACTCCTTCTACTGTCTTCAATTCCTTCAGTTTTTGCATAACCCTGAGGTTTCTATCAGCATTATTTAAAGACACAAATTTAGTTTTTTTCTCTGAGTAAGCCACTGCCTAAGGCATGTGATTTCAAGGGTTCCAGGAAAGAACACTTTCAAATTCTACCTTCCTCTGCCCCCAAAAAATTCTCCCCAAGCTATCCGTGATAACTGACATTGCTTTAATGTGTTCAGTAAAGATGTACCGAGACTCTACATCATGACAGGCTCGGTTCAGGGCACTGGGAATAGGAGCAGTGAACAAAACATAAAAATATGGGACAAACATTTTTATTCCACAACCAGGGCTCCCTTTAAATAAAAATATTGCTGAGACGTGACACACAGATTTACATAAATACTGAATTATTCATGCATGTCATTAAATTTCTCTGTGAAAGTTACGCATCAGTAGGCAGAGAAGGGGGACTATTTAAGGAGCAATGCTGGCCCCTTTCTGGTTCTCCCATGATGAAATCACAAAAGTGATTATGACTATGTCATTTTGTACAAAGAACATACTCTTTGCAGTTAGACATGAGTTTAAATGTTGGGTCCATCCCTCTCAAGCTCTGTGACCTTGAGCCCGATAGTTAACCTCTCTGAATCTTTGTTCTTTCGTCTGTAGAAAGAGAGAAATCAATATCCATTTATCGGGATTGTAGAGCGAGATCACACGTGTAGGTCCCTGGAGCATGATCTGGCAGAGTCGGGCCTTGGCAAACATCAGCTTACTTGCTGTTCTCAAGGTAGCGTGGTTTATGGCCAGAGACCAGTGAGCTGGAGTGAGTAATGACACTAGCACATAACGGCTGAAATTGCTTTAGTAAGGGATGGAGACTGATTTCACAATTAGAGTTGTTTCCATAGCTAGCAAAATCGCTACCTCTAGTTTGTGATCTGACCATACCTACTCCTTTCTCATGCACAGCCTGCCCTGGCAACTCAGGACCCCAAACCCAAGAGGTGAAATTGCCCCAGAGCCCTGGAGCCCGTTGAGGGTATTGGCCTTTTCCTAAATCAGCTTGAACAAAGGCCTGGCCAGGAAGTGTATGAGGACGAGCATTGTCAGACCTTGCTCCTGAAAGCAGGCACAGAGGGCGAAGGGATAAACACTCACCTAGTGCCATTCCCCCTCCTTTGATGTCATTCCATGTCATTCTATTTACCATCTCCAGGGAATCAATTAAAACAGCGCTAATGTATGGGCTTTAATGAACAAGGTATTATGCAAACTGCAAGCATGACAGGCTTCTTGGATTGGAGAATGCTCAAAAGCACAATCACCTGATATAACATTTGCTTTTAGCCCTCCCTTCCGGATTCCAAAATGGCACAGGAATGAGCACAGTGAGTACGTGTGTGTGTGTGTGTGTGTGTGTGTGTGTGTGTAAGATGCATGCTAAACATGCACTAGTTTACTCCTCCTCTCACCCCGCCCACCTTCTCTCCTCTCTAAGAAGCCAGGCCAGAGTGTTGACTGGAGAGATTATCTTCACAATCCACAGTGGTGTTTTGCTTTCCACATCACCTCTCAGACTAGGTGCAGAATGTATGCCTTAATTGCCTGCTCATGTAATAGGCACTCCTGAGTCCCTACCATTAGACAGACACCATCCCAGACTCTGGAAATGTTAGGGTGAATAAAACACAGTCCAGTGGAGAGGCAGACCTTCCCTCCACACGCAAACCTGAGCCTGACTCTGCATAGCTCTGGGAGCTCTGAGCTCTCCTCTTCTAAATCCCATTTTCTGCCTGGACGGAGATTCCTGGCAGGATTTATGCATGAGGCCTTTTCATCAGTGGACTTCTCTGGCCTGCAATGAGAGAATTGTCCCCAAACTGACATGTTTGTGGCCGGTAGACCTGGTCCCAGCCAAGTCCCATTCACCACGATCCAAGCACCCTGCCTGCCGCCCACACAGTTGGCCCTCCGAGCCACTCAGCCCGACTGGAAGGTGAATGTGGAAAAGAGCAGGCCGCCATCAGCCACCACCTAGACAGAAAAGCAAAGCCAGCCCTCCCGTGGGGAACCAGCTCATGGTTTCGGGTGACTTCCAGCCGGGCCACCTCGTGCTCGCCTGCCCGTGTCTCTCCGCCCTGGCTCTGTCGTGGCCACAGCTCACAGAGCCCGTCTTGTCTTGCAGAGGCGGCAGGCGGTGTGGTTAACAGCCCCGGATCTGGAGCTGGGCTGCTGGCTTTGAATCCGAGCCCTGCCACTTGCTTATTACGTGCCCTCGGAAAAGTCACTTGGCTACTCCGTGCCTCTGTTTGCTCATCTACGACGTGGGGACAATAATAATTCGTTCCTGCAGACTTGCTGTGAACAATAGAGCAAGGGGCAGTCAGGCAGGGGCAGGGGCAGAGCCGGTGTCCTGCAATTCCCTCCCATCGGGGCCCCAGCGGCCCTGCCTGCTCTGTCCTCCTTTCTGGCTGTTTCTCCTCTCCTGGCTTCGTCCTCTCTTCCCTCGTCCTCAGTGATCCCCCCCTTCCATGTTCACACCCAATGATGTCATCTTCCTTCTTCTATCCCTTCTTGGTGGAATATTGTGAGCTGTGATAGGACAATGAGGTTCACATTCCTCAAAATGTCAAGATTGCAAACCAGGGGACAGATTTCTATTTGCAAGATTAACCTGATGAAACTCGAGCATAGCAGAACTGTTTCATGGAAATGCTTGCCGGTCGTGGTGATAAATGAGCAGTGGAAAATGCTTCTGAAATTAAAGCCTCATCCAGCCGGTCCATATATGGGGGTCACCACTTTCTCTCCTTGCTCTGTTAGGAGTTTATGGTGAGGTATAGTTTAGTAAGTCTCAAGACAGCTTCCTTGGCATAGATGGTAATTTCTCTAGTCTGGGACTTATAGTCCTGTTTACTAAGGTTCTGGGTCACATCTCATTTGCAAGAACTCTGAGAGGGGCTTTGAATGTGGCCCCGGGATGCAGACTTCTGGACATCTTGTTGTTTACTTACCTGTGTCCCCTCCAGACCCGGTGCAAGATGGCGAGACTGTGTCTTACGAATCTCCATATCCCCAGAACTGAGCCTCGTGCTGGCATGTGGTAGACACACCACCAGTACTTGTTTAATAAATTAAATTAAAGGTCACGACTTTGTTCTTGGAAACATCTCAGCGGTCCCCAGGGACTGCCCGTAAGGATGGGCATTTTTCTTTCTGGTGATGAACCCATGACACCATGTGCATTGTGACCTACGACACACAAGTTGGTGGCATCCAAGCTCGTCAGGGTGGTGTTTCTGGAAGAGGCAGCCAATAACGTTGGCACTTACTGTCATCTGTAGCAGTAATCCATGTCACCCACCAAGACAGATCATCTTGGAGAAACTGAGGCAGCCCAACATTCTCATACTTTCGTAAAGGTAAACTTTCCTCTCTACTCACAGGAAGTGAGCTCACTGCTGACTCTGGGAATAACAGGACACAGTGCTGAGGTGCCAGGGAGCAGAGCCAGACTGCCTGGGTTCCAAGCTCAGCCCAACCCTGCCTATCGCTAATTACGTGACCTGGAGCAAGGTGTTTGTCCTCTCTGCGCCCCAGTCTCCTGATCTGAACAAACAAGGCTTATCACGTTAGTGCTGAGAGGTGAGAATTGAACAAGATTAGATGAGAACAGCACGTGGAGCATTGCTGGGCTTGGGATGTGCTGTGTCCGGGTTTGTTCAGTGACAGTAGTTTTCCAGGTGTGATGCCGAATGCAAGTCGTGTTTGGCGACAATAAGGGAAAATGGCAGGGGCAAATACCAGCTAACAAAGAATGTCCCTGTATCTCTGGCCACTGTGGGGTAGGCCTGGCTGGGAGCAGTAATTATTGTAATTAAAAGCAAGTTTCAGTGTCTCGGAGACCCAGGTGGGATGGAGTCACTTGCCATGGGTTTAGCCTTGTGAGAAAGCAATGCTGTAATGGGCCATAAAATTGCTCTAACCTTCCTCCCCTGAGCTGTCACGTGCCGCCGGATCGATTCCTCCCTGGCGCTTGCCGTTGCTAGTAATTTGGGCGCAGGTTCAGCACACCTTCTCCACTGCTGCCCCCGTGCCAAGAACGGCTCAAGGGACTGATAAAGAGGCCTGAGTGCCAGGGCGACACAACCCGGGGCTGACAGGGGGAGGGGAGGCGGGGCACAGGGAGGGGAGGGGCAGAGAGCCAGGGAAGCAAGAAGCCAGTCTGGCTGGAGGGTGCCAATCTCTCTCTCACACCCCTCTGACCCCGGGGAAGAGAAATGACAGTGGAAAGCTTGTTAATAGCAACAGGACACGCGGCCAATCCTTTCTTCCTTTCTGCTTTCCACGAGACCCGGGTGACACTGTAACCTGATTTGTGTTTCTCCGTGCTCCCTGGTATTTGGCCTACAGGTCTGTCTGCACCGTTTTCTCTGCAACCTTTTAGAGCATAAAAAAGTGCCCGGGCCTTTCTGAAGCATGTGTCGGGGACAAAGGACACAGGAATATGTCATTTCCTATAAAGGCCAGAAAGGGTGTTATGACCAGCGAGGTGCTAAGATGACATTTGCACTTGGGTGACAAACAAGCCCATTGCATTCCAGGTAAAGGCCAGGGCTTCTTCCAAGAACTGTAAAACACGGGAAAGGAAAGGCTGCCCTCCTCTGGGGGCTGCGGGGAGGACAGCCTCCTCTCTCTCTCTCTTTTTTTTTTTTTTTGGCAGCAAGCCTCGCTTTGTTGCCCAGGCTGAGTGATGCCATGGCTCGCCCTACGCTCACAGCAACCTCAACGACTCCTGGGCTCAGAACTATCCTCCTGCCTCAGCTCGCCGCAGTAGCTGGAGCTACAGGCAAGCGCCACCCATGGGTCCCGGCTAATTTTTTTGTATATATATTTTTAGTTGGTCCAATTAATTTCTTCTATTTTTAGTAGCATTATGGCAGTCTCGCTCACGCTGGTTTTCGAACTGCCTGCACCTCGAGCAATCTGCCCCCTATTGGCCTCCCAGAGAGCTAGGATGACT